GGGCTGGCGGGCTCGCCTGCGCCCCCTTCATGCAGAGCACAGAGCTGCAGTCGCGCCACGCCCACAGGTCAGCTCCTCACACGGGCACTGGACACGAGCGGAGCTGGTTCGGCAATTTGAACACGTTTAATTAACACACCGCTACATTTAGGTACATTGTTTTACGGACTACGGGAGCCCGTTGGGACCAAAATAGCTTTTCAACTATAGGAGAGAGACCGTGTTTTTCTTGGCAAAGGCCTCATAGAAACTTTTTGATGTGCACGTAAACTGCAATCCGTAACAATGTAAAAAAAGTTATTTTCATTTACGCGGCGGAGGGAAGTCCCCATTACCTGTAGAGGGCTTTCACCGGGGTTTCCAGAGGAGCGATATGTAACTGAAAGGATATTATTATAATCAAGTGAAAATTGGGAAGAAGTACAGTTAAAGCCCGGTTTGGTGAAATTATAGTTTTTGTTACATTTTTGTGTGTTGATCGGACTTCTCTGTACTTTGCATTAAACACTTTCCATAATACCCGGGCCATGGGATTCGGCCATCAAATGAACGCTAAAATTAAAGGATGACGTCACGAAGCTAACAAAAGAGTAGTGTAGAGCTCGCCACTTGTTGTTTAAGATTTCACTTCTAAGCAATTTGCTGTGTTTTGCATTCATCCTTATTTCTTTCTGGTGATTTAAACTACTCAGTTGTTTTTTTTTAAACCTTGAGGGTTTCAATTCCATTGACTGCACTACATATTTGTGTATATTTTTTATTGTTAATTCTTAACGTATTAAGGAGCTGTTGCCTTTCTATTGTTCCATTACCTGTAGGGGGGGAGAGGGGTTTATAATGTACATTGAAGTACCTGCCTCTTTGAAGTTCTGAGCATCTTTGGGAATGTTAGCACGGTTTACATTGTTTGTGTCATGTCATGCCCCAGAAGCAGCAGGCACGAAACTGGTGATTCCACTATTGTAGTAAATGTAGCAGAGTTAACCACTTGACAATAGATTAAGGTCTGCCTTCACAGAGCATAGAACAGGAAACAATGAGTTTTGTGAGCTTTATTTAGTTATACCCTCACACAACAGAGTATATTAAAGAAGTACAGAGTTGGTGTGAAATTGTATCATCTGGTGTGTTACACTGTTACCACACTTGAGAGACCAAGGAAATGTACTGGATTAAAGCTCTGTATTGTTCATTGTTATTCTGACATTGTTAAACGTTTTACACATTGTTTGGTTACGAATATTGCCGCGGTCTGCATGTGTGAGATGGTAGACTCTTGTTTCTCGGATGTGTTATGAACTGTGTAAACTTTGTACATAATGCCCCTTTAAAAAAAACGTCCTGAAGTCCTGGTTCCTTTTCACTTTGGCGAATGTGCTTTGAATAAAAAAAAGCAACAGTGGTTCGGAAAGTTGCAAATTCAAGTCTTTAAAAATACGTGGCTCGACAGACAGGTGGAATCTTCACATGTCCCTTGATGCCTATGTTTATTTAAGAAGGAGACAATGCGAAACCTTTTACTTCTTCAGATTTATAAAAAAGGACACCGCTACGACGTATTAAGACGTGTTCGTTAAAGCCACTTTGTAAGAACATACGATTGTTCGCTTTTCAAGGCCACACCCGCAACTCCTCTGATTCGGGTATGATATTGGAGACAAATTTAATTTTACTGGTCACACAAACGCATAGAAGACGCTTGAACTCGGCAGACGGGGTCACTGGAGGTCAAAGTCACCGTCTATGATCACGTGATCACCGGAAAATCAAGGCGCTATATCTCGGGAACGAAAGCAGCACAAACGCTACTTTCAACGGCACAAACCGGCACCAACGCAGCACTAACGAATGAGGTGGGTTTCATTGTTTGTGCTGCCTGTGGGGGTCGCAACTTCACTGAGCTCCTCAGGAAGTCTCGCAAGCGCCTGTATTCTCTGTCAGGAAAACTAAGGCAGGAAAACACAACAAGTGTCTTGGATATTTATTGAGGCCTTTTATTCATGTAGTGTGCAGAATAATCATAAATTCACAGTTTATTACAATTTACTTGTTTCTGGAGTGATGACATTAATGTACAGCAGAGGCCCTTGTCTCTGATCTCATACATTAGGCACTTCTGATCCACTTCTGCTAATGCTCAGGTGTGTCCAGGTCCTTCAGCGCCCAGCCGGTTAAGGAATTGAGCTCCAGTGGCTGGCCTGAAATCCCGTGATGGAATTCAACTGGAGTGGCAGAGTTTGCCCACTGCTGTCCTAAAGAACTGATTGTCTGACGTTCTTATTCCATCTGAGCCCTCGTCTTTTTAATTGGAAACTGATTTACTTAATTATGTCTTTTGCAATTGTCCGAAAATGGCTGGGGATTTTTCTTCAAAGAGTTCTGCCACGTCCGATCAATAGTCCGGTTAGACGCCCTGGAGTCTGCCGGTACTGAGGGGCCAGAGAGGCCTCAGGCACTGTCCTGGTGGGGCTGCAGCCTGGCGGCCAGGGCCAGCGAGACCCGGCGCAGCGCCCCCTGGTGCTGGGGGTACTCCTGGCAGACGCGGTGCAGGATGGTGCTGATGGTGTGCAGCCGGTCCTCCTGCCTCTGCATCTCGGTGTCCAGCGCTGACCCGCTCCGCGCCACGGCGCTGTACCGGCCCTCGCGCACCGCCTGCAGCTGCTTGGCCCGGCCCTGCAGGCTCACGATCTGGGCCAGGTTCTGAAGGGTCAGAGATAGCACACCGGCGGAGGGTGAGTCTGCGGATCTGGGCAACTACGTCCCCAGACTGACACAGACTGCATGTTTTAATTCAAGTCTTAAGTTAGAGCTCCCAGCTGGGACACAGGGTGGCCTTTATTGCAGTGAGGTGGGGGGGGGGTATCTCCACATTTTCCACATCACTAAGGGTCAAATAAAAAAAACTGCAAACCTACTTCTTGCCATTACCTAATAAATTAATGTTATTACCGCATAGTCATTGGAGCAATATTACCTGCAATGATTGAATAAGCCAAGACTAAACTGCTGGAAATGACATGATGGGCAGTGCACTGACCCTGTCCTTCGTGTCCAGCCGGCCCTGCAGGTCAGCGGAGAGGATGTCGCCGGCAGCCTGCAGCTCAGCCAGGTGCTGCTGTTTATCCTCCAGGCTGGCACCCAGGGTTTTCTGTGTGTCCTGCAGCTCGCTGATCACGCTGTCACACTTCTCTGCTTCCTACAAGCACACACAGGCCATCATAGCTTAGAGAACCACACCTTCCAACAGACAACACATCCTCTCATGTGAATATGGTGCCTGTACATATGCGGAATACAGAGGAAGTGACGATACTCCATGGGCAGAGGTTGCAGCGAGTGTGTCAGAGTGCTGGTAAGCCTGTCAGTGCCACTGTGCAGCCCAGGTCTGGCTCACCTTCTGTGCGTCCTGGATCTTCCTGCTCAGGCGCTGCAGCACGCCCTGCAGGTCGCTGCGGGTCAGCTGCTTCCTGTCGGCCCGCGCCTGAGCCTCGCCCCGCGTCACGGTGGTCTCCCGGCGGGACACCGCGGCCTCCATCTCCCGGAGCAGCCTCTCCTGCTGCTTCATCAGCTGCCCATAGCGCACCTGGCACGACAGCACCGGTCAGGCGGTCAGGGGGAGCTGGCACACGCGGGGCAGGAGGAGGGCCAGAGGGCACTACGTGAATTCACACAAAGGGGCGGGTTTGGAACTGCGAGGAAGGGGACTGACCTCCATGCGGTGTATTTCGGCCTTCATGGTCCGGATCTCGCCCTGCCCCACCTCTGAGTCCACTGCCTCCCGTGTTTCCCGGGCCAGCTGTGTCTTCTTCTCCCACAGCATGATCTGTCGCCTGGGAGACAGACTGGTTACCGCAGTCATCGCACTCCCCGTCACCTTGCATCATGAAATCATGACGACAACACTGACATATAGCTCAGATACTAGTCTGACTCCAGTGTCACCCTGAGACTGTTAAGCTACTCTAGACCAAGGCACATTCTCAGAGGAATCCACTTTTTTTCAAACACTAGTGCCTGCCATGTCAAAAGTAGACCTAAGTCAGTTTAAAATCGGTTTGATATGGCTGTTTGGGCTTTGACTCACTCTGCCTCCACCAGACTGTTGAGCAGCCTCTCTTTCTCCTCCTGTATTCTTTCCAGCTTCATCTGCATCTGGACTGACTGCCGCTCAGCGTCCTGCAGGACAAACACAGACTTCATCACTCACATCACCTTCCCGTCACTCACAGACTCCTTCCCCACATAATACTCCTCTCTGCTACAGAGGCAGCGGTACTGAGCTGTGTGGGCAGTATCTGTGATAGAGACAGTGGTACTGAGCTGTGTGGACAGTATCTGTGATAGAGACAGTGGTACTGAACTGTGTGGGCAGTATCTGTGATAGAGACAGTGGTACTGAGCTGTGTGGGCAGTATCTGTGATAGAGGCAGTGGTACTGAGCTGTGTGGGCAGTATCTGTGATAGAGACAGTGGTACTGAGCTGTGTGGGCAGTATCTGTGATAGAGACAGTGGTACTGAGCTGTGTGGGCAGTATCTGTGATAGCTGCAGCAGCACTGAGCTGTGTGGACAGTATCTGTGATATCTGCAGCAGCACTGAGCTGCGTGGACAGTGCGGTACTGAGCTGTATCAATCAATCAATCAAACAAACTATTTATCAAATGCACAACAATACAGGGTGCAGCAGTAGCTGCTGGCAATGACATGTCTTTTCTGTGAGTTCACTGGGGGAGGGGGGTAAAAATCACAAAATTAAAGTTACAAAATAAGATTACATAATAATACATAATAGTGCAATAGAAATTTAATAAAATAAACTCAGACAGAGCTCAATATAAATAGAGCTGCGATGTGTCCAGGGTGTATGCAATACATTATTCCAAGTAGTGCAGTGTGCCGAATACAATGAAAACTGTCCATGTAGCCATTACGGGTGATTTGCTGAAGGAACTGCAGCTTGGCTATTTAGCAGTCTTATTGCCTGTGGACAGTGTGGACAGCATCTGTGATAGAGGCAGTGGTACTGAGCTGTGTGGACAGTACCTGTGATAGAGGCAGTGGTACTGAGCTGTGTGGAC